GAGAAAAACTGCAAAATATAGTTGTGATGATGAAACAAAATGATGAAAACAGGAAAATGTTAAATACATATTTTTCTCAAATAATGACAGATTTAGCTTTTGTTAAGTTGCTTAAAGAGAAACGTGCCACAAATTGTTTTTGAACCTATAGATTAAAGTAGTTGTAATCATTATAATTCAAAGCCACAATTAAACACTATTCTCAAAAATGCACTTCTGAACTACACTATTATAAGAAGTTTAAATGTTTGATATCGCTCCACATCATCGTTAAAAAGCTTCAGAATGCTCTAGAATATGAAATTGCTGGTGACAGAAGAGAAAGGCAGAATGGGTGACTTAGTCACAGGATATTCTTACACAGTATTTTTCTCAAAACATTTTCCAATTCAAAATGTTAATGTGGCTGGCTGCATACTAAATTAAAAGTATTTGGTGGGGGGGGAGAGATACATGTTAGTTTGTAAAAATAGTCAATATCCTGATTGACAGAATGGACCAATACTGTATTCTAATGCATCTTATATTGATTGGCATGTACTATATGGGAGCTTGTGTAGTATAGTGCTTAAGGTGTTGGACAAACATTGGTGAGATCCCTGTTCAAATCCTCCTTTGGCCATGGAAACTCAACAGGTAGGGGCAGTTCACTGTCTCTTACCCCATCCTACCTCACAGGGTTCTTTTTGTAAGGTTAAAAGGAAGGGAGGCAAGTTGCCTTGTGCTCCTGGAGTAAGAACAATGTAAATCTGACATTGATAACAAATATTTTTAACCTGAGCTCCTCACCAATAATAGTAGGAGGGGTTTTTTGTTTTTTTTGCTATTATGGCTTGTGCATAAGGGCTGTTACAGTCTTTTTTAATTTATCCCAGCACTTTAGCATTGAAAATTCTATTTCCCCAAATCTTAAAAGAATCTCCTCATTGCTTACATTTTGACAATAGTGTTACAACATTACAGGTTGTAAGTTGTAACCTTACGACCACAATTGCAGTCAGAATTTCAATTGTTAAGCAAGGCAGTTAAGTGTGTTGAGCCTGATTTTGTTTCCCTTGGTTGTTAAAAGAATCATTGCAATTGTTAAGCGAATCTGACTTCTCTTGTTGTCTTTTCTTGGGAGAAGCCAGCTGGAAAGATCGCAAATGGTGGATTCCATGACCCCAGAACACTGCAACTATTGTAAATGCAGGCCAGTGGCCAAGCACCCAAATTTTGATCATGTGACTGTGAGAATGCTGCCATCTGTGGGAATGCTGCCATGGTTATAAATGTACAGACCAGTCATAAATCACTTTTTTTCTGTGCTGTTTTAAGTACAAATGGTCTCTAAAGGAATGGCTATAAGTCAAGGACAGCCTGAAAAAGAGAGTGGAAGAAAAAGGAGTTGGATTGGAAGACATCCAAGGTCCCTTCGAACTCCATTATTCTGTTATTCTGGAGTACTTCAAGATACTGCGATTGACGAGCATTTCCAGATTAAAATGTAACATCAAAGAAATTCATATTTTAAAAATTGTTGATTGTCATTTAAAGAACATAGCAATATTACTGTTATACCTAATTAATTGTTATGGCTTCATTCTAGTAGTTCAGTTCATCTAGGTTCATATAGCATTCTATTTTAAACATTTTTGTTCCATCATTTGCCATAGATAGATTACAATCAAGGATATATATATTCTTAACATTTTTAATGCCAATAGGTTTTTTTTTACTTCGTACACAAGGTGTTTTTTTTCAGTATAAAATATTTGAAAAAGGAAGATAAAAGGGAAGTAGCAGAGTGTCAAAGAATAATGAGAAAAGTTTTCTCAAAGTAGAAACTGTTACAGAGGAAAGGAATGATAAGGTGGTTTGGAGCGTGTTAGATCTTTACCTCTTGTATAAATTCAGGTTACTTTATTCTTTTTATAAAAGGCTATTAAAATTTGGATAGCTTGCCCATTTTGTAAATAGACATTTTTTTCTGCATGAATGGAAGAGGTTTAAAAATTATTGCTCTCTTTTTTTTTTAAAGGTTTTTTAAAGTAATTAGGCATGAACTTTTTTTTTCAGCAAGTAATACAGGAAAAAGCTCTATGTTTGGAAAAAAAAGTTATCAACTCTGCATTGAGATTATTAAATGCTTAAAAGTGGATAGACTCTACCCACAATGGAATAATGACAGGTGAAGATGATGGAACTTGTAGAAATGCCCAAACTGTCTTCTTTGATTCGAGAAAAGATTTATGTTTATTGCTGACTTGAATCCCTTTTAGACTTTTTTACATGAATAGAAAAAAATGATCTTATTTTTTATGTTTTTGCTATTTAGCAAAAATAGTTAATAGAAAAAAGACAGCTTTTTTGGTAACCTTACAGTAAAAGTTAATTTTGTAATTGTACCTAATATTTGCTGCTACGAAAATCAGAAGGTACTTTTTTTCTTTTCGTTATTTCTTTTTTCTTTTTTTCCTTTATTTTCTTTATACTAGTTCTTGTTAGTTTTAATTTTCTATTAAAAACTCTTAATAAAAAATATATGTAAAAAGAAAGTTTACCGCTGATTAGTTTTGAACATCAATTTATCTCCCTGATATTCTCCATTTGGCTTTCTGTTACTTCCATCAGTTGATACCTTTATCAACTCTATTAGTGATTATTTATGAAGAAAATGGGATTATTTAATGAATGGTTGCAACATTATAAAAAAGTCTTAGATTTTTGAGAATATTTGTTAATTTTTCTTATCAAACAATGTTTATCAGAGTTTTCAAATAACCTAAGTTGTTTTACTTTGTGGCAAAATTAATTTTTGAAAAGATTAAGTTTGAGAGGATATGCATGAGAGGCAGTATAGAAACCATTAAATATGATATATCATATATAGATTTGGTGAAATGGACAACTATAGCTGTAGAAAAATCAGAAAAATTCATCATCAGATATTTTAAAATTGAAACTGAGATTAAAAAGAAGGAAAAACTGTTAGCTAAGAAAGGCCAGTTGAAGATTTATCATTTGAATTGATAAAATGATAAGATGTCATTTGCCCATCAGCAGTCAAGGAATTCTTTTGAAATAATGTTTCTGGAAACAGAAGGTAAAATACATTGCTGTAAATGCAATAGAATGATACTCTTTTAATTCTTTAACCAAAACAAAATAAAAACCCTGTGAAATAGTATGCTTTAAGTGCACATTCAAAGGACCATTAGCTTAGTGATATTCCTGACCTTTATGTTTTCAGAACCGTATAATGGAACATTAGAATATAAAGTATTTCAAATGCATTGATTGAATAATATTCCAGACATTACTGTGGAAGAGTTTTCACTTCTCTATCTCATAATTGGAATATATCTCAAAATTTATTCAGCATGCAATGTACCCTTGAAGATTTATCATGCATGAAAACACTGCGCCAAATGCTTTATATTATTGTTAAAGGAGAATATTTGTAATGGGTTGAATTGAGGGATCTTTGGTTGTTTTTATGCGTATGTATGTATGTATGTATGTATGTATGTATGGTATTCAGCTTTGTTCGGGTATTTTCCCACGTAATTATAGTTGTGCTTTTAAAGTTGTAGCAACGTTTCGGCAGAATCTCATCTGCCATCATCAGGCTTCTGTATTGTGTTCGTCTGTGAGTCAGACTTTCACCGCCGTTTCAGTTTTAAATTTGGGGCTAGCCTACTGCTGTGCCAGAATGGTTTTTTCTTAATCCTGATTGGTTGGGAATCTTGTTCTGTGTTTATTGGTCTTGGAGTTTGCTGTGTTCTGCTTGATTGGTGAACAGACCTATGGAACAGCTGTCCTGCCCTACATAAGAGGTACTACAGACAAAATCAGTAAGATACTACACAGGCATCACATCAAGACTGCCTTCAAAACAGACAGAAAAATAGCAGCCATCCTAAGAAACCCCAAAGATAAAATTGACCTGGAAAACCAAGGCATATATGAAGTCCCCTGTGCATCATGCCCTGCCACATACATTGGACAGACCAATAGAAGAATAAGTACACACCTGGATGAACACAAAAATGCAGTAAAAAAGCTGGAACACACTTCCTCACTAGTCCAACACACGAAAGCCACAGGTCATAGCATCGACTTCAATGGCACCAAAACCCTGGTCACTATAGAAAACCCCAGCCACAGAATGATCAGAGAAGCCATAGAGATTGAAAAAAGACCTGAAAGCATGAATAGAAGAGATGATTCCACCAGACTGTCAATTATTTGGAAGCCTGCACTCACAAACAAAAAAATCTCCACACCACAAGCCAGGCAAACACCTGGGCACAAACAGATCCCCTCTGATACCTCCAGCTCAAACACACCCCAACCAGGCACCCAGATGAAACCTAGCTTCCTAATAAATTATAGCCGTCCATTTACTCGGAGCCAAGCCGCACTAAAAGCCTCCAATACAGGAACACAATGTTGCCAGCCAATCAAGACAAAAAAAGCCACAAAACAGACAGAAGATATTAGAAACACCAATCAAGCAGAACACAGCAATCTCCAAGACCAATAAACACAAACCAAGACTCCCAACCAATCAAGATTAAGAAAAAACCATTCTGGCACAGCAGTAGGCTAGCCCCAAATTTAAAACTGAAACAGCTGTGAAAGTCTGACCTACAGATGAACACAATACAGAAGCCTGATGATGGCAGATGAGATTCTGCCGAAATGTTGCTACAACTTTAAAAGCACAACTATAATGACGTGGGAAAATACCCGAACAAAGCTGAATACCATACATGTAAGTACCCACGAAAACTTAAGAAAACATATATATATATATATGCAACTGTGCAATGCAGAAGCTTCTCTCAATCAAGACAGTTTAGCTGTATGAGAGTTCCAACCTCTTTTAACAAAAAATGGAAAATGCTTTTAGTGTATATGTATGCAGAATTTGTTTGGCTTGCTGTATTCAAACCACTTACCTTAACGTTTCTTTTGTTTCTTCCATTTCATTCTCTTTTTTCCCACCCTTTTAGGATATTAACGTATGTATTCTAGAGAACTATCCTGAATGTTCCAATCCCAGGTTATTTTATATTATTCCATATTTCTGTGGACAGCATCCAAAATGCAGGTAATTTACAAACTTACCTTTTCTTCTAGCTTGTGTCTTCTTATAGTCTTACCTTTTCTTCTAGCTTTTGTCTTCTTATAATCAGGGAATCTACAACAAGTTAGATTTAAAATGTATACAGGAAGTCCTAGATTTATGATCACAATTGAGCCCAAAATTTCTGTTGCTAATTGAAACATTTGCTAAGTGAGTTTGCCCTGTTTTAAGACCTTTCTTGCCATAGTTAAATGAATCACTGTAGTTATTAAATTAGTAAAATTGTTGTTAAGTGACTTCAGTTTCCCCAGACACTACAACCATCATAAATATGAGTCTGTTGCCAAGTGTCTGAATTGTGATCATGTGACCATGGGTGTGCTGTAATGGTTGTAAGTATGAAAACTGGTCATTAGGTTTTTTTAAGTGCCATTGTAACTTTGAACAGTCACTAAACAAACTATTGTAAGTTGAGGACTACCTGTACTGTACTTTTTTTTTTAGAAAAAGCACAAATAACTTATAGAAATAAGTTTGACTTCTTTCCTTACTCAAAAGCCTTATAAGATTGACTGTCTTCAACTTTTCATTGCATTGTTCTTAGATGAAACAAAATATCAGAGAACTCATTACTTATTTTACTTAGCAAAATAGCTGGCTTGGCTTTGTTACTTTGAATGACTGAGTGTAGTGATGTCATACTGGCCCTGTAGGTACCCTTCTCCAATATACAGTCCCAATGTTTTAGACTACAACTGTCACCAGTGTGGCTAATGAGAATAATAGTCCAATGATCAGAGCTAAACTGTAATACAAATCTTTTGGAGTACATATGTTATGGAAAGTTGCCTATAGTATATATCAGCATCTCAAAATCTTAATTATGAGGTTCTTTAAAACATTCTAAATATGATTCTGAAACTTTTATAGTTACAATTAAAAATTACTGTTGTTTCATATGTGGTGATTTACATCCTAGCAGGTTGTGTCGTGTTCAGTATGAAGAATATTGTTAACTTTTTTTTAGGGAACCTGGTGAATGGGCCCTCGAAAGAGCAAAAATGAATGTGAATGAAAATTTCCTCCTTGTGGGTATTCTGGAAGAGTTAGAGGATGTGCTGCTTTTATTAGAAAGATTTTTACCTCATTATTTCAAGGATGTAGTCAGCATCTACAAAAACCCAGGTAACTCTCTCGATAGTATATCACTAATTGTTTTTATGACTCAGATCAGTGATGACTAACCTTTTCGCTACCAAGTGCCCAAAGCGCGCCTGCATCCCCAAAATGCAACGTGCATGTGCACCCCCATGCATGTATGGCAGAGACCCAAAGACAAGCTGGCTGGTGAGAGGCACATGTGCGGCGGAGCTGAGCTGGGGTGACAGGTCGCGTGCCCAGAGAGAAGGCTCTCCGTGCCACCTCTGGCATGCATGCCATGGGTTCGCCATCACGGATTCAGAATAAAAGTTGTTGCTCTACTTGATCTCTCTATTTATTAATTTAATCTAGGAAATCTACTTATTTGGCATATAGACTATTTTATGAAAGGTATACAGTTATTGTTATCAGATTGTAATTGTTTATTGTATGTGCTAGTTAGATTAGTAAACAAAAATATTTGTTAGATGTTCTATGTTCCCCAGGAATTCAAGATAATGTAGGTCTTCTCTACTCTTCCCCATATCAATAACTCTCAGTTTGGGATGATAGTGAGTGTCCAAGGATACTGAGTGAGCTTCTGTAGCTAAGAACAGACACGAATCTGACTCTCCTTTGTTCTAAATCTAAATGAATATTTTAACTAGTATATTTTTTGGCACTCTGACATTCTTAATAGGCTGCAGTGAGACATCAACAACTTAGCTTCTTGTTTTTATCCAAATAACTTTGAGATCGACCGATAGAATAAGGATGTGGCTGAAGTCATGGTCATTTGTAAAATGTGTGCTCTTTAATTCTATTGATCCTCTATTCATATTAGCTTGATTTGGCCAGACGGTGGCACTATACCTCTTCTTTTCTTTTACAAATATAAAATAAACCCTTAAAAAGAAAAACACTCTGCATTTGATTTGCCCTTCACATTGTCAGATTTTATATTTTATTATGAAAAAATGAGGGAGTTGACATTTTCCCGTCCTTCCTTCTCAATATGTAAGACTCAAAATTATCTAGAATAATGATGATTTTAAGAAGGTTTATGTAGCATTTTTAAAAACAAGTTTTATTTTATTCCCTTTATAAATATAGCTGGAATACTTCTGCTTGGAATATTTTCATATGAAGAAAGAATAACACCTATTAATTATGAAAATGTTGCTGTAATGTTGCTTTTGGCACAACAAAAAAAGAAACCATGCATATAAATATAAATTATACATTATTTATTTAAATAGGAGCCATAAGTCTTCAGTTAGCTGCATCTAGAATTGGTGTTGACTACATTGCATAAAATTTCCTCTACATGGGCTTATGACATGCATTTGCTATTCAATAGACACAATTAAAGTAAACTAAGAATATCAGAAGGGACATAAATGTGCAATCAAGCACAATATTTTCAAAACAGAGGGAAAACATTTTCACCTTTGTTTAATTATATAACAAAAAGTTAGTGACTGAGATTTATAAAATCAAAATTGGCTGGCTCAGATTGGATAATAGCAAGGAAACATATAAATCTGTATATAGCAGTCACCGAGACAAGCAATTGCATAGATACGGTTCCCAATACTTAACCAGATCTATGAATCGGATAATACCTAGATTTTGTAGCCTCATGTATTTTTTTTTAAATGCCTCCTTTTGCAAACTGCAAAAGAACCTTGAAAGTAACCTGAGATAAGATGGTGGCAGAGAAACAAAGCAGCAGCCCATCAGTAGCCTGTCCCCAAGACGGGTACTAGAACTAAATCTATAACAAAGAAACTTCTATATTAAGAAACCAGATGTGAGTATTGAAAGAAATAGCTCCACAGTACACAATCCTAAATAGGCTATGAAATGTCAACTTCATAATATTAAGTCAAAAAGAAACAAACAAAATCCTATAGATATCAATAGGAAATTAAATAGGAAATGTATGTGAATCTTGAGGCAAATACTTCTTCTATTGGAAACCAAACTAAAGCTGCATAAATGGAAAAGCAAGGATTCCCATTCTTTCTTCTCCCACTCAAGAAAGGCCTGTTGAGAAAGGCCCCTGTTCTCATGCCTCTATTGTATGGATTATCCCATACATAGAAAGAGGACAAGAGAATAACCTGCTAAATCAGTGCTAAGAATGCTTTAGTGGGGAAGCAGAGTCTTCCTAAAGATTCCCATTATGGTCCAGAGCCCTCACTACGTAACTTGTGGAACCTCTGCTATTGCGACATGTGTACAAACAGCAGAGAGGGAGAGGGAGAGAGAGCAGTACTTAGCTGTGCAAAGAAGTGCCTTGTGTCAGATAATCTATTTGAAAGGGGAATATGGTTCTCAGGTAGACTGGTTTTTGTGATGAGTTGTTGACCATCATTGGCCAAGCTTAGAAAATGGGGAGTTTCCTGCATATCAGACTGTACTGTGGCTGAGCATTCCATGATAAAATTGAGGAAAAGATTCATCAGTAGAAAATTCAAATGTATCTGTTTGCAGTTAATCATTCTAATTATTGGAGCTGGTGTGCAGATGATATGATCACAACACAAACCATCCTAATAATGAGAAAACAGCTTACCCGAAACAGTTTGTTGTTGTTATAGAATTTGTCTAATAATTTAATGTAACTAATACATCAGGAATAGGATTTGAGAACTCACCAATGATACAGAAAATCAGAATAAACCGCAATTGATTACATCTCTGTCCCAATAACAGAAGAAGACAAATTCTATTAAAGGCTTCTAATAGGCTGTATGCTAATGAAACTCTTATGATATCCCCAGAATTGCAGTCCACAAATTTGTAAGGTATTCTAGATAGGAAAGTTTTAAAAGACCACCCAAATTTAATACAGGTGGTCTTCAGGTTACACCCATTTGTTCAGTGGCTGTTCAAATTTCAATGAGCTGAATGAGACTTAAGAAGGTCCTTAGAGATCCATCTGTCACATTGTCCTTGCAACCATGTGATCACAAATTCCAACTTTCTCCTAGCATTCTAACAAGGAAAGTCAGTGAGGAAGCTAGCAAGAAGTCAAAGATTGAGGTTATGTGACTTAACAGCCAGTGCAGTCTTCACTAAATAATAGCAAGCAGAACTAAGCATTACCCATGATGCTTAGCAATGGCAGTTCCAGTCCCAATTGCCATCATAATCCAAGGACTACTTGTAGCTCTTCTCCCTCACATTGACCTTACAATTACAGCAGAGTAAGATTTAGGAAGATCATGCAATACCTAAATGGTCTTTTTGGTAAATCATGTGTAACAAAGTTTTTTCACCTATGCATCCTTTGTTTATTATAAGTATTAAAATGCAAATATTAAGATATAAATAAGATAAATTTCAGAACTTCCCAGCTGCGGATAAAATAACTGTTAACTGAAAAAAACAGTTTACGAAAGAATGCAATACTACAAAAAGGTGCTAATCTCCTACAGATAGAGCAGTTCTACTCAGGATCCCAGAAGAAGTGCTGCCAGGGTACAAAATTATATTATAAATTACAAGAGTAGTTTAAGGGCATTTATTATTTCTTCATGCATAACCTGAGATAGGAACAAAAAGAGTAAGACTACACAGAATTCCTGAAATTGTACAGAGGAATAAAAACCTACTAGATTTGATTTAGCACCACATCAAAAAAGCCTTCTTTTGTATCATTTACTGGACTTCCTCCAACTTTGTGGAAAGAATCTACTGACCTTAATCAAAAGTTCCAGAAGAGATGGTAAATCCCCAGCTTTCGGCCATAGATTTCTGTTAGGGGTATCCTTAACCCCACAAATTCTGTTGAGTTTTTTTTAAAAAATCACCTGTTCAACAGATGAGGAGGCTGGAGTAATCTGACCCTGTACATGAACAAAAATAATTTTTGACTTATGACCATTCATTTTATGACCAATAAAAGTTACCATGGTGCTGAAAAAAGTGACTTTATGTGGAAGAATAAAATGTGGAAGAATAAAAGCAACCTAAGTACTTACAAGCATCAGGAAGGGAAATAACCAATCCAAATTGGTTACTTGGATTAATTGTTAGTCTAATGTCCAGTAGGTGGCAATAAAATCTAATCTTCCAGTCTGAATGAGAATTGTATATGAACTCCATCAAGCTACTGTGGAGAATTTTTCTTAATATATTAACAGTACAAACATGTATGTTCAGCCAGTGATTTTAAGGTTTCTTCTTCTAGGTTTGGATTGATACTTCTCTTTATGCTACTCATACTGGGCTCATACAGTTTGACTGGGTCAGGACCATTGTAGACATTCAATAACCATATAATAGATATTAGTCAGGGGTTGGCTGCTGCAGGTTTGCACGGGTTCAGGTGATCCTCTAGCTAAGAGTCTTCGCAGTTCAACGAACCCATAAATCCCATCCCTGGCTGGCCCCGCCCACTCCACCCGACCCCTTCCCTCCTTTCTTTAGTACCAAGGTTAGATGAATGTCCCACATCAGTGCTGGATTCAAGAAGTCACCCAATTGCAAACCTGATCCATAGAAAACTATAACTCCATCCAGAACAGACATTTCTCCAGAATCATAAAATCCATTTTGCAAAATCAATAGCAACTTTATCAAAGGTCACAATTTTAACAATCAAACTAGTATAAACTAAAAAAGAAAAGAAAAAATAGAAAGTGTAGAAAAGAAAAAATGAGAGAAATTGAAAAGAAAGAAAAAAATATAGTAAAGAACACACACACACACACACACACACACACACACACACACACACACAGTGTTTCTCATATAATAAGGCCGGGTCTTTTTTTTTTTTTTTTTTAAACAGACTTTATTCAGTTTTCACATTAAAAACAAAAATCTCTTTTTAGTGGACAACATATTTCCGGGTCATCATCTTTACATACAAATATGACAGAAATTATACATTGATATATGCATACTTAATTCTATTATTACCTTTTCCATTCCAAATTTTCAGTAAGGAGAGAAACAAACACATTAATTCTAGCCTCTTTCATTAATTTCAATCAATTTTGTTTCATTTCAATTATTTCAAATATAATCCT